CCCGCATAAGTAATTTTTTGTAATGGTGTAGTACCCATTACTATCTTCAAATACGAAATTTGAAACAATTCTAAAATCATCAAAATACCCGAATAAATTGAGGTGCCATAATATGGGCGATATACGAAGACGTGGACCTGCCTACGAAATTTTTAGGCATACCTATTACCTATTACTATTACTTGATGGAGTGCACCAATATTATCCATTTTCGTACCTGACCTAGAACTGACGCAAATATTAGGATTTGCAAAGTTGGAGCAAAATCGGATTATCTTTTCTCTTTCTGTGCAGAAAATATATTTTTCTATGAAAATTTCGATCTTTTGTGGGGTGGTACCAGAAGGAGTGGGCCGATATTACTCATCTCCGAACTCGATCTAAGTTTGACAAAAATATTACTATATACCAAGATTCAACCAAACCTGATGTTCCCATCGAAGGTTATCGTGCGCAACAGCCAGACAGACGGACGGACATCGCTAGATCGACTCCAAATGCCCTGAAACGGATTTGGCCCAAAGAGACATAGGGTCTAAAACCGTTATATCGTTATTTCGTTGCTCAGCTATATGGCTGAGGGTAAAATAAGAATCGTAATTTTGGAACTTTTTTTGGTTTAAAATATATTTCAGTTTTTTTTTTGGGATTCATAAACATTCCTTTGAAAACACACCATTTTGGGCCTATTTAGGATACTTAAAAATCTAAGTTTCTAAAAACAACAGGATTTTTAAAAATATTAAAAATCTACGTTTCTGGGATTTTCTTTTTGGTCTGAAATATTTTTTTGTATTTTTGTTTTTAGTTTGAAAAATATTATTTGGGTGGCGAAACATTGTATGTATAGGTCCACGTTTTGGTATAGCTTCCATATAACGGTACCTCCCGATATTCGGTATTTTGGTGTTTTTTGCCACATTTTTTCGCGGATTTGTCTAAAAATTGGTATTTGTGTGTCCTAATGGCCCGGCCGAACTTAATGTTTTTTTATTTTATTTTTTTTTGGTTAGAAATATTTTTTCTATTTTTTTTAATTTGAAAAATATATAAAAAAAATTAAAAAAAATAGATTTTCGACCTTTTTGGGGATTCAAAACAATTATTTGAAAATCCACTTATTTGAGCCTATTTAGGATACGAAAAAATTTAATTTTTTGGAATTCTTAAAAAATTTTAAAAATCTACATTCTTGGGGCTTTTTTTGTGTTTGAAAAATTTTTCTTTATTTTTTTTTAGTTTGAAGAAAATATTTAAAAAAAATTGAAAAAAATAAGTTTTCGTTCTTTTTTGGGGTTTCAAAAAACCCGTAAATGCGTAAATATCCAAGTTTTTGGCATTTATTGGGTTTTGAAAAAAAAAAAAAAAACATAAAAATCTACGTTTCTGAGATATTTTGGTTTGATTTTTTTTTGTATTTTTATAGTTTGCAAAATATATTTTAAAACAAAAAAAGTTTTGGGCATTTTGGAAATTCATAAAAATTGCTTTGAAAACCGACCATTCTGGGTCTATGTAGGATACTCGTACGTAAAAATCCATCCAATCCAAATGCGTTTCTGGGATTTTTTTTCGGTTTGAAACATTTTTGTGTATTTTTTTTAGTTTGAAAAATTTGAAATATATTTTCAAAAAAACAAAAAATTAAGTTTTGGGCTTTTTGCCGATTCATTCATTCATTCTGGGCCTAACAGGATACGTAAAAATCCATGTTTTTAGGCCTTTTTTTTTGGGATTCATAAAAAAGTGTAAAACCTACGTTTCTGGGATTTTTTTTTGATTTGAAACATTTTTAATTTAAAGAATATATTTCAAAAAATAAAAAGAAAAAAATTAAAAAATGGGATTGGTTATTTTTAGTTGGAAAAATAAATTAAAAAAATAAAAATCCAGAGAAAATCGTGTTTTGGGCCTATTCAATGGGGATTCAAAAAAATTGATTTGAAACCCCACCTTTCTGTGGGATACGTAAACATCCAGGTTTTTGGGATTTGTAAAAAAATGTAAGAATCCTAGTTTTTGTGATTTTTTTCGGTTTCAAAATTATTTTTAGTATTTTTTGATCTGAGAAATATATTTTGATTTTTTTTAAAGAAAGAAAATTTACACAACACCAATTTACACCACAATAGTATGGAGGTTATATTAACTTTGTCATTCCGTTTGTAACACCTCGAAATATTTCCGTCCGTCTGTGGAAATCACTCTAGCTTCCGAAAGAAATAAAATAGGTTGATAAAATTTTACTCAAATGTATACTATGTCTGCAGGACTTTTGGTATTGAAAATGGGTCATGTAGGTCCACGTCTTCGTATAGCCCCCATATAACGGTTCCTCCCGATATGCGGTATGTTGATGATTTTAGCGACATTATTCACTGATTTTTTTTCAAGTTTCGCATTTAAATATTGTAATGACTTATGACAAAAGTTGCCTATGCAGGTCCACGTCGTCGTATAGACCCTAATAGAACGGCTACATTTGGTATTTTTAAGATGTTAACAGAATTTGTAACGGATTTTATTTTATTTATTTTTTTTAAATTACAAAATTTGTGGAGGGTATTCTATGTTCGGCCCGACTTTTTTACTCGTTTTAAGTTTGAAGAATATATTGCAAAAAAAAAAATCTAGAAAAAATTCACGTTTTGCTCCCACCATTCTATGTCTATCGTGGATGCGTAAAAATCCACCCTTTTTGGAATTTTTTGGATTCGTAAAAAATGTGAAATCAAGATTTCCGCGATTTTTTTGGTTTGAAATATTTTTCTGTTTTTTTTTTTTAGTTTAAAAAATTATTTCTAGAACAATCGAAAAATGTAATAAAATTTCTTTGAGAATCCACCATTTTGGGTCTGTGTAGGATACGCAAAAATCCATTATTTTTGGGTACCTATTTGTTTGGGATTTGTAAAAAAAGTAAAATCTACGTTTCGGGATTTATTTGTTTGGTTGGAAATATTTTTTCTATTTTTCTTTAATTTAATTTGAAAAATTATTAAAAACATAAAATAAACATAAGTTTTCGACCTATTTGGGGATGCAAAAAATTGCTTTGAAAATTCACTATTTTGAGCCTATTTAGGTAAGGATACGTAGAAATTTAATTTTTTTGAGTATTTTTTGGAATTCGTAAAAAAATTTCAAAATCTACATTCTTGGAGCTTTTTTTGGGTTTAAAAAATTTTCTTAATATTTTTTTTAGTTAAAATATAAATATATAAAATATTTTTAAAAAATTCCAAAAAAAGTTTTCTTACTTTTTGGGGTTTCAAAAAAAAAAAAAAAAAAAAAATGCTACGCAAAAATCTAAGTTTTTGGTTTTTTTTTTTTTTTTTGAAATTGGAAAAATATTTTAAAAATCTACATTCTTGGGGTTTTTTGGGTTTAAAAATTTTTTCTTATTTTTTTTTTTTTAGTTTGAAGAAAATATTTATTTATTTTTTTTTTAAATAAGTTTTCTTACTTTTTGGGGTTTCAAAAAATGCTGTGAACACCCACCATTCCGGGTCTATGTTGGGTACGTAAAAATCTACGTTTTTGGCATTTATTGGGTTGTGTAAAAAATTTACGTTTCTGAGATATTGTGGTGTGAAATATTTTTTTGTATTTTTATAGTTTGAAAAATATATTTGAAAAAAAAAAAACAGATTTGGGCCTTTTTGGAGATTCATAAAAATTGCTTTGAAAACTCACTATTTTGGTGCTGCTGATCCGTAATTCAAATCTTTGAGTATTTTCTTTTGGAATCGTAGGAAATTTAAAAATTTGACGTTCTTGGGATTTTTTTTTGGTTCGAAAAAAATGTTCCGATATTTTTTTTTAGTTTGAAGAATATTTTAAAAAACAACAAAAACTGCAAGTTTTGGATCTTTTTGGAGATTCATAAAAATGCGTTTCTGGGATTTTTTTCGATTTGAAACATTTTTGTGTATTTTTTTAGTTTTAAAAATTTGAAATATATTTTCAAAAAATTCCAAAAAAAAAATCAAGTTTTGGGCCTTTTTGGTTATTCGTGTAATTGCTTGAAAAATCTGTCATTCTGGGCCTAGCAGGATACGTAAAAATCCATGTTTTTGGGCCTTTTTTTTTGGGATTCAAAAAAAAAGTGTAAGATCTACATTTCTGGGATTCTCGGGGATTCATAAAAATTGCTTTCAAAACCCACCATTCTGGGCCTATGTAGGATAAAAAATCCATGTTTTCGGGCATTTTTTAGGATTTGTAAAAAAATAAAAATCCCAGTTTTTGTGACTTTTTTCGGTTTAAAATTATTTGGGTATTTTTTGGTAAGTTTTTTTTTATAATTTTTTTAAAAAGCAAAAGTCTACGCTCTTTGGCCCTTTTTTCGTTGTGATTTTTTTTTTGGATTTATAAAAAAAATATGAATCGTAGATTTTGGGACTTTTATTCGGTTTGAATTTATTTGGGTATTTTTTGGCCTATTTTTTTTATTTTTTTTAATAATAAAAATCTACGTTCTTCAGCCTTTTTTTGGTGTGGAATATTTTTTCTTGTAATTTTTAGATTTTTCAGAAAAATTTTTCGAAAAATTTGTTCGCAGATTATGGTTAAAAAATATTAAAAATTCCATTTTTTTATTTTTTTTTATAAAAATATATAATTTATTTGATTCAATACCATTAAAGCTAAATGAAGCTGGCAAAGCTAAGAAATAACTAAAACTAAAATTATTTTGCAAAGAATTACAGCTATTTTTTTAAAACCTAGACATAATTGTATCACAGTTGGAAATGTTGAGGATTTGAAATTAAAAAAAGGAAAAAAAACATTAAAGCGTTTAAATAACTAAAGCTGTAATAAATGTCAAGCTAGGAGGAAGTTTAGCAGCTATTCGAAAGCAAATTAAAAAGCTTGGATAATTATTTTGGGGGGGGGGGGGGGGGGGGGGGGATACATTGCACGTTGACTGATCTCTGGAACTCGTCTCTCTGTCTGTCTCTCTCTCTCTCTCTCTCTCTCTCCGGAATGATGGTTTCTTAAAACGGTCTCAAGGTGGATAATAACGGCTGTTGGGCAGGCGGAAATCCAGTGGAAATGGTAGCAGCCGTTGTCGTTGCTGCTCCTGATGGCAGAGCCACCGAAGAGTGAACGGTGGATAACATCCGAATTCCAGCCGATAAAGTGGTCGGTGGTATGTAGGGAATGTTGCTGGCTGTGTTGTGACTTGTGGTGCTGAGGCTGCTGCTGCTGATGGGGCCATTAACACCACGATAGAGGCTATGACTGCTGCTGCCACCAGCCGTTGAAGGTAAACGGGAAATAGTGTTGAGCAGTAGACTTTGTTGCCCCGCCATCGATGATGAAGATGCAACGGATATCGAAGATTTCACATCAATTGCAGATGCCATTGAACCACCACTGGCCATCGTGGAAGAGCCAGACGAAGCTACAGCTGCCGCTGGAAATTGTGTCATCTGTAACGGTCGATATTGACATTTTTTGGCATGAGTTCGCATATTACTCGATTGGGTAAATGCCTGATTACAATTCGGATGTGGACAGACATAGGGCTTGCAACCGGTATGATAGTTCAGGTGAGTCTTCAGATGATGCTTCTTGGTGAATGCCTTCGGGCAGATGGGACAATTGAATGGCTTAATGCCCGAATGCAGACGATGATGTAGGGTCATATTACTGCGATCGGCAAATGATTTACCACAAACGGAACATTGATATGGCTTTTCGCCACTATGCGTGCGCATGTGTTGCTTCAGCAGCATTTTGCGCGAAAAACGTTTGCCACACTCCGCACATTTGTGAGGCTTGACACCGGTATGAATGCGCACATGCATATTAAAGGCCACACGTTGATTGAACGATTTCGGACAGTACGGACATTCGTATTCCTTTTTATTGCGATGGATTTTCATGTGACTGCTCAGGTACCCCTTGTCGTTGAATGTCTTGCCACATTCCGGACATTCAGCCGCAAATTCTTTGGTTCCCCGATGCACCGACAAGTGGTATTTGTAGTTGCGCAGCTGGGAAAAGCCCTTGCCGCAGTCAGTGCACTCGTAGCGCGGTGATTTGTGGGTTTTCTCATGGGCCTGGAAGAGGGGAAGAAGAAAAAGGGAGATTTTTAGTAATTTAGGAGAAACAAATTTTTATGTGAATCTTAAACTATCAAAATACATAGGCCACATAGGGCCAACATTTCTAGGCGCCTTTTTAAGCTACACCAAAGTCTAAATTTTTAATTTTTTTGGAATAGAAAAAAATCTATTTTTTGGGGCCTTTTTTGGAATACTAAAAGAATTTAGAAGACTTCACGAGCCTTTTTTAATTCCAAAAATTATTAAGAATTCAAATGTTGATGCCTGCTTGGATCTTCAAAAAATTGTAAAAAAATACATTTTTGAGACCTGCGATTTCAGAAAATAATCTGAAAAATTCCACATCCTAAAAAAATCACATTTTGGTGATTTCTTGAATTTTGAAAAAAAAAAAAAAATACATTTCTGAAACCTTTTTGGATTTCAGGAAAAAAAATCTGAAAAATCTTTGGTTCTGTTCTGCTTTGGGAATTCAGGAAAATATTAAAAAGTCCATGTTTATGTTTTGAAAAATGTGTATATAATTTCAGTTTTAAAAAAAAACCTATTTTTGGGTTTTTGAAATTCACCTCAACCTTTCTAGGCGTCTTTGAAGTTAAACAAAAAATGTTGGGGCATTTTGGGAATTAAAAAAACAACAATTAAAAATCTTCTTTTTGGGCCCTTAAGAGATCCTAAAATTCGATGTGATTTTTAATTCCTAAAAATCACATTTTGATGCCTTTTTGGATTTTTAAAAAAATCTTAAAAAATACACTTGTGAGATCAATGGGATTTCAAAAAAATATCTGAAAAATGCCAATGATTCGAACTCTTTATAACCCTAAAAAATTCACATTTTTGGATTTTTAAAAAAAATATATAAAACTAAATTTTTGAGCTTTTCTGAGTTTATAGAAAAAATCTGGAAATTGTTAAAAAAGCCACATTTTGAAAAATGCAAATAAACTTCTGTAAACTTCTGGGATTTCAGAAAAGATTGAAAAATCCACGGTTTCAAGCTCTTTTGGAATTCGTAAAAAATAATAAAAAAATCCATTGATTTATTAAAAAAAGCCACATATTTGAAAAATTCCATGGTTCCGTTTTTTTGTATTTCTAAAAAACCCTAAAATATTCAGATCTTAGCGATCTTCGCAAAAAAAAAATAAATAAATAAAAAAATGTGTTTCTGCTTCGTAAAACTGTTTTAAAACATCATATTCTTGGTTATTTTTAATTTCTAAAATAAAACCTAAAAAATCAGATTTTTTAAGTTTTCGGTTTTTTTTTTTTTTTGGAAAAAATATATAAAACAAACTTGTTTCGGTCTCCGGACTTATTTTGGGTCTCCGGTTTATGGCTAATATTCTTTAACATTTAACGTGTCAATAAATCTTTTGTGTCTTGTACCATCGCTCGTTACCGTGATACTGGCAGCTGGTAGCGTAGCCCGACGTCAATGAAGTGGACAAAGTAGAAGAAAACAGCAACATCAGCAGAAATGGTTCGAGAAGTAAAGAAGCGATCGAAACGTGGCCGCGTCGCAGTGGCCGAAAAATGACTCGTGAGCTGAACATATCGCAATATTCCGTTCGGCAAATATTTAAAAATAAGGTCGGGGTAAAGCCATTGAAATACCAAAAAGTGCAAGAACTTACACCGCAACAGAAAGAAAATAGACTCAAAAGAACTAAAGAGTTGCTTCGCTTGGCCGAAAGTGGTGAACTGTCGAATTTGGAATTTTTTCCGCTGGTTTATTCGAGATATAAATGCCGATATTTAATATTTTTTTCAGTGGAATTTTTAAGTATTTTTTCGAAGTTGTTTCAGGAATGCCAGCATATTTTTTTAGACTTGTTCATGGGATTTTTTACAACTTTATTTCTGGAGGGGGATAAAGACCTATAATTCAGTTTTTTTTGTGAAATTGTTGGGGAATTTTTAAGATTTTTTAGGAAGAAAGGCTTTGTTGTGATCATGTATTTAAAGACCCCTAAAGATTTTTTTCTAGAAACTATCAGAGTTATAGGCGGAGATTTTCAAATTATTTTTTTTTGGGAAGTATCAGAGATGTTGGTCGTTAATATTTTTTTTATAATTTTTCTATAGCTGAGCTATAATCGCTTAAGAATTTTTTTCGCTGGTATACATTTTTAAGTCTTAAGAATTTTACCGAAATCATTTCAGGATATCAACTTGATTTTTTTTTAATTTTTTTTCGTGGGATTTTTACAACTTTATTTCTGGAGGGGGATAAAGACCCATAATCCTTTTTTTGTGAAGTTGTCGGGGAATTTTTAAGATTTTTTAGAAAGAAGGCTAAATTTGTACTGATCATGCATTTAAAGACCCCTAAAGAGTTTTTTTTCAGAACCTATCAGAGTTTTAGGCGTAGATTTTCCAATTATTTTTTGGGAAATATCAGAGATGTTGGCCGTTAATACTTTTTTATAATTCTTCTAAGGAACTCTCTGAGCTATAATCGCTTAAGATTTTTTTTCGCAGCTTTAAATTTTTAAGTCTTAAGAATTTTACCGAAATTATTTCAGGAATGGGCATTGAAATCTTTTTTATTTTTTTTTTCATGGGATTTTTTACAACTTTTTCCTGAAGAGGGATACGGATCTATAATTCGGTTCTTTAAGAAATTGCCGGGGAATTTTTAGGATTTTTTAGAAAGAAGGCTAAATTTGTAGTGATCATTCATTTAAAGAGACCTCCAGATGCTATAAGGGTTATAGGCGAAGATTTCCAAGACTTTTTGAGAAGAATTTGTCGAGGAATTTTTAAGATTTTTTTGAAAGAAGGCTACATTTGTAAATATCTTGCATTTAAGAACCTCTAAAGAGTTTTTTTCCAGAACCTATCAGAGTTTTAGGCGGAGATTTTCCAATTATTTTTTGGGAAATATCTGAGATGTTGGCCGTTAATATTTTTTTTATAATTTTTCTAAGGAACTATTTAAGCTATAACCATTTAAGATTTTTTTCGCAGCTATAAATTTTTAACTTTTAAGAATTTTATGGAAATTATTTCAGAAATGTCCACTTGATTTTTTTTAATTTTTTTTCGTGGTATTTTTTGCTACTTTCTTCTGGAGGGGGATAAAGACCTATAATCCTGTTTTTTTTTTCTTGTGAAATTGTCGGGGAAATTTTAATATTTTTTAGAAGAAAGGCTAAATTTGTTAAGACCATGAATTTAAAGACCCCTGAAGAGTTTTTTTTTCCAGAAACTATCAGAGTTATAGGCGGAGGATTTCCAATTATTTTTTGGGAAATTGGGATTTTTACAACATTATTTTCTGGAGGGTGGATAAAAACCTATAATCCTGTTTTTTTTTTTTGTGAAATTGTCGGGAAATTTTTAAGATTTTTTAGAAGAAAGGCTAAATTTGTTGTGATTGTTAATTTAAAGACCCTTAAAGAGTTTGTTCCAGAACCTATCAGAGTTATAGGCGGAGATTTTCGAATTTTTTTTAGGAAATATCAGAGATTTTGGCCGTAATTTTTTTATAATTTTTCTAAGGAACTCTCTGAGCTATAATCGCTTAAGATTTTTTTTCGCAGCTATAATTTTTTAAGTCTTAAGAATTTTACCGAAATTATTTCAGGATATCCTGAACTTGATTTTTTATGGGATTTCTTGCAACTTTTTCTGGATGGGGATTAAGACTTACAGTCCTGTTTTTTAAGAATTTGTTGGGGAATTTTTAAGATTTTTTTGAAGAAGGCTAAAATTGTTGTGACCGTGAAGTTAAAGACCCTTGAAGAGTTTTCTTCCAGAACCTATCATTTTTTTGGGAAATAACAGAGATGTTGTTCGTTAATTTTTTAATAATTTTTCTAAGGAACTCTCCGAGCTATACTCGCTTAAGATTTTTTTTTTCGCAGCTATACATTTATAAGTCTTAAGAATTTTACCGAAATTATTTCAGGTTATCAACTTGATTTTTTTTTCAAAATTTTTTCATGGGATTTCTTGCAACTTTTTTCTGGAGGGAGATAAAAGTTTATAATCCGGTTCTTAAAAAAATTGTCGGGGATTTTTTAAGATTTTTTTAGAAAGAAGGCTAAATTTGTAGTGATCGTGCATTTAAAGAGACCTTCAGAACCTATCAGAGTTATAGGCGAAGATTTTCAAGATTTTTTGGGATATATCAGAGATGTTGGCGGTTAATATTTTTTAATAATTTTTCTAAGGAACTCTCTGAGCTATAATCGCTTAAGATTTTTTTCGGAGCTATATATTTTTAAGTCTTAAGAATTTTACTGAAATTATTTCAGGAATGTCAACTTGATTTTTTTTTTCACATTTTTTTTATGGGATTTCTTGCAACTTTTTTCTGGAGCGGAATAAAAATCTATAATCCGGTTCTTTAAAAAATGTCGAGGAATTTTTACGATTTTTGAAAAATATGGCTAAGTTGGTTTTGAACTTGAATTTTCTTCAGGAGCTTTTTCCGAAAACTATCAGAGTTATAGGCGGAGATTTTCGAATTTTTTTTATAAAATTTCTAGGCGGAGATTTTCGAATTTTTTTTCTGAGAAATTTCAGATATGTTGGGCGTTAATTTTTTTTATAATTTTTCTACGGAACTATCTGATCTGCAAACATTTGCAATTTTTTTTTTTGTTTTTTTTTTCGAAGCTAAAAAATTTTAAATTTTGCGATATTTTCTCAAGGACTATAAAGGGATTCTTTAAGAATTTCTTCTAGGATCAACAGAGCTATTGCCGCGAATTTTTAAGATTTTTTTTTGTATTTTTTATTGAAATTTTGGGAATTTGTTTTCTCTTACCTGCAATGTCTGCGAACATCCAAAAACCTTATCACATATCCGACATTTATAGCTGATCTCCTCCGAATTATTGGAGATGGTGCCACGACTCTCAAACAACGAGGCCATATGAGTAGATGCCGCCACTGTGGCTTTGCCCGCATTCAAATGAATATTTGTCACCGAAGTTAGCGAAATATTTGAAGACGATAAGAGGACATCTTTTTGTACCTTGGAATGATATGAACTGCTGGAGCTGATTGTCGAAGCTGTGGGTGATAATATGGGACTCTTGTAGGCGTAGCCGACGGCATTTGTGTGGGGTGCCTTGTAATAGGTATCCAAACATTCGGCACAATCCAAGCGAGAGCAGAGATATTTTGTTGGTGTAGTTGTTGCTGTCGCCGGCTGACAATGTGTGGTTGATTGTGTTGTGAGAGATGTGGGGGTGGGTGGTGTCAGGGGGCTTTGTGTGGGGTTTGATTTTTGCGCATTGTTGTTGTTCAAAACATAGGGGGCAAAATAACGCTTTTGATAGGAGGTGGAGGAGGGGACGGAGACTGGGGAGCGTTGCAGTTGTGGTATTTGGTTATAAAGTCCCGCCATCACTGCCGGTGTTGCTGGGCCGGCCGAGAACATGTGCGGCAAAAATTGGGCATAGAATTTTTGTGCCGCCACCGCAGCCAAAATGTTGGAATGTATTGCGGGATAGGAGAAATTCGGGGTGCCATAGGGAAAATCCATGCCAGAATTTGGGTTGTTGGCCGAGAGGTTTGTTCCTGTTGCCTTGGTCTTGGATAAATCCAAAATATCTGTGACTGCCGAAAGCGAGGCCTTTGTGGCCACCGGAGCATAAAGTTTGGGACTGCTGGGAGGGGTATCCTGGGTAAGAGAACTGCTGGAGGTTTGAGGCGATTGAGAGGGTTTGGGTTTTTCTGGCGAATCACCTAGTATCCGTTGTATACTAAAATCGGTAACGTTGACACCGACGGCACCGGCCGCCGGAGTATTGCCATCCGTTTCGTTTTTCATGGCTTGCGTTTCGGATTTTTGATAGGCCGACATTTCGAATTGTTGCAAACGTTGTAACAGCGATTGTTTGTAACCCATTCTCAGCTCATGCATAACAAGAGCCAAGTAAGCGATTTTTTTCCGATCAAACTCAGAATCAAGACACAATTTTTTAATTTTCTATTTTTTTTGAATTCTCAATTTTTTATTTTTTTTTAAAATTTTATTTTTCAAATTTCTTTCTTTGTTTTTATTTTCAAAATTTTTTTTTGGTATTTTTTTCTACGGATCTCTACACTTCACCACTTTCGTATCAGCCGTTCTCTGTGTGTCGTTACGGTTTCACGTCAAATCTCGTTATGATCCCTTGGAGCATTGTTATGACACTTACATCAATTCCAGTCACAGCTGATACCAAGATCAGCTAATTTTTGTTGTTGTTTCTTTATCCAGCTTCTCTTCTCAGCTAGCTAGGCAATCATAAACAAGTTTGTATGTGTGTGTGTGTTGTTGGGAGTGGTGGAGCACAGCACACATTTGATCTTGGCTCAAACATCTTACCAATGGTCAAGTGTTATACATTCATTCATGCGTACAACGGTTGTATGTATGGGTGTGTGTGTGAGAGTTCCGTTGTTGTTGTTCGTTAATTTAAGCCATATTTGATAACTCTCATTCTCTTGGTTTTTTTTTTTTTTTTTTGGCTAAAATCAACCACCCCTCGAAAGTGAAGAAGGCGTTACCATTATTTGGCCAATAACAGACGATCAATTGGGTAAACACTTATGTTTTGGGCCACACTCATACACACACATATACCGCAAGACAGGTGTAAGCCTGGGTTATTGCTATGCTCAACAGGTGGCAGGAGAGTTGCCGATCACCAAAACTCTACTGGGATTTAATTGGTTTATTTTGTTCTCATTCCATCTCTGAATATGCGTGATTTTGCTCTCACTCTCTCCCTCTCACTCTCTCGGTTTAGTTAAAGGGGGATTTCTCAGAATATGCGATACAAAATCGAATAAGCGGCTACTGGACAGTAGCATTTCGAAAAAATAGATTTTTTTACTTAAATTTTATTTTTTTAATTTATTTTTTTTTTCAATCTCAAATTTTAATATTTAAACTTTAATTTTATTTTTTTTTAATTTAATTTTTTTTAATTTGAATTATTTACAAATTTTAATTTTTATAATTTTATTTTTTTTAAATCCACGTATGTTGGTTTTCCTACTAAGATTTATTTTTTTTAATTTAATTTTTTTCAATTTGAATTATTTATAAATTTTAATTTTTATAATTTAATTTTTTTTTAAATCCTCATTTGTTGGTTTTCCTACTAAGATTTTTTTTTAAAAATCCACATTCCTACTAAGTTTTAATTTTTTAGAATTCCACGTCTGTTGGCATTCCTTCTAAATTTTAATTTTCCTTTATTTTTTTTAAATTTATTTTTTTTCGATATTTTTTTAATTTTCTTTTAATGTATATAAATATTTTTAAAATTTAATTTTTTTTTTTGAAAAATCTCTGGTTGTTGACTCGCATCCTAAATTTTTTTTTTTTTAAATATCTTTAAATTTTAGTTCCTTAAATTTAATTTCCTTTAATATTCTTTAATATTTAATTTTTTAAACATCCACGACTATTGGCTTTCCTCCTAAATTTTAATTCATTTTTTTTTAAATTTTGATTTTCTTTAAATTTTATTTAATTTTTTAGAATTCCACGTCTGTTGGCATTCCTTCTAAATTTTAATTTTCCTTAATTTTTTTTTTAAATTTATTTTTTTTCCGATATTTTTTTAATTTTCTTTAAATGTTAATTTTTTAAAATTTTTTTTTTTTAAAAATCTCGCATCCTAAATTTTATTTTTTTTAAATTTCTTAAAATTTATTTCCTTAAATATTAATTTTCTTTAATATTTTTTAATTTTTCAACATCCACGACTATTGGCTTTCCACCTAACTTTTAATTCAATTTTTTTAATTTTCTTTTATAAGCGGCTACTGGGCAGTAGCATTTCGAAAAAAAGAGATTTTTTTACTTAAATTTTATTTTTTTTTAATTTTATTTTTTTTTTTTAATTTAATTTTGTATAAATTTTAATTTTTATATTTTTATTTTTCTTTTTAAATCCACGTTTGTTGGTTTTCCTACTAAGTTTTAATATTTTAAGAATTCCATGTCTGTTGGTATTCCTTCTAAATTTTAATTTTCCTTTATTTTTTTTTTTAAATTTAATTTTCTTTAGATTTTTTTTTTAATTTTCTTAAAATGTATATGAATATTTTTAAAATTTTATTTTTTTGAAAAATCTCTGTTTGTTGACTTCATCCTAAATTATATATTTTTTAATTTCTTAAAATTTATTTCCTTAAATATTAATTTTCTTTAATATTTTTTTAATTTTTCAACATCCATGACTATTGACTTTCCTCCTAAATTTTAATTCAATTTTTTTAATTTTCTTTTATAAGCGGCTACTAGGCAGTAGCATTTTGAAAAAAAGAGATTTTTTTTACTTAAATTTTATTTTTTTTTAATTTAATTTTTTTCAATTTGAATTACTTATAAATATAAATTTTTATACTTTTATTTTTTTAATTTTATTTTTTTTAATTTAATTTTTTCAATTTGAATTATGTATAAATTTTAATTTTTATAATTTTATTTTTCTTTTTGTTTTTTCGTTTGTTGGTTTTCCTACTAAGTTTTATTTTTTTTAATCCACGTCTGTTGGTTTTCCTACTAAGTTTTAATTTTTTAGAATTCCACGTCTGTGGACATTCCTTCTAAATTTTAATTTTCCTTAATTTTTTTTAAACTAAATTTTTTTTCGATATTTTTTCAATTATTTTTAAATATATATAAATATTTTTAAATTTTTATTTTTTTTTTTAAATTTCTGTTGACTCGCATCCTAAATTTTATTTTTTTTAAATTTCTTAAAATTTATTTCCTTAAATACTAATTTTCTTTAATTTTTTTTTTTAATTTTTAAACATCCACGACAATTGGCTTTTCTCCTAAATTTTAATTCATTTTTTTTTAATTTTAATTTTCTTTATATTTTATTTTATTATATATTAATATTCTCTTAACTTAAAATTTATTATATTTTATTTATTTAAAAATTTACGTTTGTTGGCTTTCCTCCTAAATTCAATTTTTTAATATTAATTTAAATTTAAATTTTATTTTTATTTTCAAATTTTTGAAATTTTAATTTTTTTTAAATCCACTTCTGTTGGCCTTCTTCCTAAATTTAAATTTTCCTTAAATTTATTTTTTTTAATTATATTTTTTTAAGCATTAATTTTCTTTAAATTTTAATATTTTCAAAATTTTAATTGTTTAGAATTCCACGTATGTTGGCTTTATTTTTTTAAATGTATTTTTTTAATTTTTATTTTCTTTGTATACAATATTTTATTATTTTAATATTTTTATTCATTTTTTTTAATTTTATTTTTTTTAAGTTTTATGTTTTAAATGTCGATTTTCTTTAAGTCTTAATTGTTTTTTAAACCCACGTCTGTTGGCTTTCCTCCTAAATTTTAATTTTCCTTTATTTTTTTTTTTTAAATTTAATTTTTTTCGATATTTTTCATTTTTTTTTAAATATATATAAATATTTTTAAAATTTTAATATTTTTTTTAAATCTCTGTTGACTCGCATCCTAAATTTTATTTATTTTTTAAATTTCTTTAAATTTTATTTCCTTAAATATTAATTTTTTTCATATTTTTTAATTTTTAAACATTCACGACTATTGGCTTTCCTCCTATATTTTAATTAATTTTTTTTAGTTTTAATTTTCTTTAAATTTTATTTTATAAAATATTAATATTCTTTTATCTTAAAATTTTTAATATTTAAATTTTTTAAAAATTTACGTTTGTTGGTTTTACTCCTAAATTCAATTTTCTTAATATTAATTTTTCTAATTTTAAAATTAATTTAAGTTTTAATTTTATTTATATTTTCAAATTTTTGAAATTTTAATTTTTTAACAATCCACTTCTGTTGGCCTTCCTCCTAAATTTTAATTTTCATTAATTTTGTTTTTTAAACTTTGATTTTCTTTAAATATTAATATTTTAAAGATTTTTTTAATTCCACATCTTTTGGCTTTCCTCTCTAAATTTTAACTTTCTTTAGTTTTATTTTTTTTAATTTTTATTTTCTTTAAATATAATATTTTATTATTTTTATTAATTTTTTTTAGGTTTTATGTTTTAAATGTCGATTTTCTTTACATTTTAAATTTTTTAGAAACCCACGTCTGTTTCCTTCCTCTCAAGTTTTAATTTTTTTAAATTTTAAAATTTTTCAATTTTTAATTATTTTAAAACCCACGTCTGTTTTCTTACCTCCCAAGTTTTAATTTTTTTTTAAATTTAAAAATTTTTTAATTTTTTTTTAAATCCACATCTGTAGGCTTTCTTGGTAATTTTTAATTTTCCTTAATTTTTTTAGAGTCCGATTTTCTTTAAATTGTAATATTTTTAAAATTAATTTTTTTTAAATCCATGTCTGTTAGTCTTCCTCCTAAATTTTAATTTTCATTTCTTTAGTTTTTTTTTTAATTTTTAATGTTTTTAAATTTTAATTCTCTTTAAATGTTAATATTTTTTAAATAATATTTTTTTTTAATATATAGGACTGTTGCCTTTCCTCTAAAATTGTAATTCTCTTTTTATACCCTCAGCCATATGGCTACAGAGGGTATATATCATTTGATACGGTCAAAACGTGCCTAGTCGAAGTAACGTTTTAGACCCTAGGTCTCATTGGACCAAATCCGTTTCAGAATATTTGGAGTCGATCTAGCGATGTCCGTCCGTCCGTCTGTCTGTCTGACTGGTGCGTACGATAACTCTCGAAGGGAGTAACCGATTTGATCCAAAGTTGGTACATCGTAATATTTTTGTCAAACTTAGAACGAGTTCGGAGATGTGCAATATCGGTCCACTCCTTCTAGTACTTCCCCCACAAAATGTCGAAATTTTCAAAAAAAATAACTTATTGCACAGAAAGAGAACGGATAATCCAATTTTGCTCCAACTTTGCAAATATTAATATTTTCGTTAGTGCTAGGTCAGGTGCGAAAATGGAATGGCGAATATCTGTCCACTCCATCAAGTACCTCTCTCACAAAAATCAAAATTCGGAATGATTATAACTCTTATAAAATGTGATTGTCTTCAAATTTCACTCATCCCAATATTTTTGTTAACCCAAGGTCTGGTGTTATGATAGAATATATCGGCCCATTTCTTCTTGTACCTTCCCCGCTAAGGGGAATATCCGTGAAGTTATTAAAACACAAAATTAACCTCCGTTTCTATTCAGACTTGGTATATCTCAATATTTCTGCCAACACAGGATCTGCTATAAAGATGGTAGAGATCGCACCATTCCTTCTGGTACCTCCCGCACAAAGGGTCAAAGTTTTGAATAACCAAAATTATTATAAAATCCGAAATAAGCATCAGGTTCTCTTCATATTTCACACATTCCGTTATTTCTACTAAAACAAGATCTGTGAAAATGTGATGTATCGGTCCACTCCTTCTGGTACCTCCTCCCCAAAAAGGCTCAAAATTTTGAAAATCCCTGAAGCTCACAAAATGCTAGATTAGCATCCGATTCCATTTAGACTTGGCACATCTAAATATTTCTATCAAAACAAGATCTGTTATAAAGATGGTAGAGATCGGACTATTCCATCTGGTACCTCCCTCACATAGGGTTCAAAATTTTGAAAAAGAAAGAAAAGCGAAATAAGCATCCAACTTTCTTCAAATTTCACACATCCAAATATTTTTGCTAACAAAAGATCTCTTGAGTAGATGATAATTTCTGCGAGCCCCTTCTAGTACCTCACCCATATTCCTCCTCCGGATACCAATCCGTTGGACTATTGTGTGTCTGGAGTATTTTGGAAAGCAAGGTTGGCACTAAAAAATACCAAAGTGTCGATCACCTCAAGCAAGCGCCTCACCAGGAATGGGCCAAAATACCGCAGAGCAACATTCGGGCAGCGTGTGGCGTTTTCATTGGCCGTTTGAAGGCAATAATTCGTGCCAAGGGTGACCAATTCAAAAAAAATCTAAACTTATTCTAAAATATTCTTAAATTTGATGCTATTTCCGATATTTTTTGCTTTCATTCATTTAATTAAAAAAAAAAAACGTAAAAGTTATGGCGTTTGACTTTGTTGCAGTTTTTTTTTATCTCACCCTGAACATCAAATTTTGAGAAAAAATATCCGATTTATTCTTTAAGTCCCTCACAGTCGTAATATGCTTTCAATAACAATGATATTGGTAACATATATCTTATAGAGCTCGGAAATACTTTTGCCAAATTTTATCGAGATCGGCTATGATATATATCCTTTATCCGATTTCAGGTTTATTGTGCAAATAATGGCTAATATCAGCTGAAATGGAGTGAATTTCGGGAGGTACGTTTCCATTTGGTGGAACACGGCTCCGATATTTTTTTATACCCTCCACCATACAGGCCAAGTTCGGTCCACGATATCGAATGGCCCCCATATAACAGTACCCTCCGATATTCGGTATTAGGAATTGACTGAAATTCTACACAAGGAGTTCTTTGTGAGAACTTTACCTTCTGACAGAGATTGATCTCGTATATTCTCCATATAATGTCATCTCCCGATATTCGGGTTTTTGATGATTTTAGGCACATTTTTCAATGGAATTGTCTGAAATTCTACACAAGAACTTCTCTGTTAGTCTTAATCCCCTGAATTTTCTATATAGGTCCGCGATATGGTTTTCATTTGGGCGGTATTATTCAACGGATTTTTTTTTTTGAAATCTTTCACGTTCCTTCCGAATGGTGGAAGATATAAAAAGTTCAGCCCGACCGAACTTAGCTGCTTCTTTACATTAAAATTAAATTTTGATTTTCTTTAAATTTTATAATTTTCTAAATTTTATTTTTTTTAAATTTATTTTTTGTATTAAATTTTTATTTTTTTCTAAAAAATATTTTTTTAATTTAATTTTTTTTTTAATTTACACTCTTTAAATCAACATATGTTCGCCTTCCTCCCAAATATTTTTTTTAATTTGAATTTTTAATAAATTTCAATTATTTAAAAATCCACATCTGTTGGCTTTCATCCTAAACTTAATTTTTTTACATTTTATTTTTTTTAATTTTTTATAATTTTTTTTTTTTTTGAAACGTGGATTTGTTTTATTAAGTTTTATTTTTTTCAATTGTTTTCTTTCTTAAAATTTTAACTGTAAATTTTTTTTTTTTTTAAATCCACATCTGCTGGCCTTATTTCTTTTTTTTTTTTGAAATTTTAATTTTCTTTCAATTTTAATGTCTTTTAAATTTTAATTTTTTGAAAATACCCGTTTGTTGGTCTTAGTCATTCATTTTATTTTTTAAACATCCACTTTTAATAACCGTACTTCTACAATTTTTACTTTTTTTCAAATCAACGTCTGTTGATCTTCATGCCAAATTTTTATTTAAAAAAATATTTGTTCAAGTTGATGAAACGAGGGTGTAAAGAATAATTTTTCAAGTATTTCAAGGATTCCTAAACGTGGATTTTTTAAAAATTTTAATTTCTTTTTAAATTATGTTGAATGGCTATTGTTGTATTTTTAAATTTAATTTAATTTTCTTGTTTTTAATATAATTTAATTTCAATTTTCTTTTAATTTTATTTTATTAAAATTTTAATTTTCTTTAATTTTCTTGTTTTTAATATAATTTAATTTTAATTTTCTTTTAATTTTATTTTATTAAAATTTTAATTTTCTTTAATTTTTTTTTTAAATTTCATTTTTTTATTTTTTTTTAATTTTACTTTTTCAAATTTTCCTTTTTTAAATTTTTAAATTTATTTTAAATTTTATTTTTTTTAATTTAATTTTTTAATTTTATTTTTTTAAAAATCCATGTCATTCTAAATCTTATTTTTTAAAAATTCTCGTCCTTCTTAATTTTAATTTTTAAAAATCCACGTCCTTTTTAATTTTAGTTTTTTTTTTTAATCCATGTCCTTCTAGATTTTAATTTTTAAAAATCCACGTCCTTTTTAATTTTAGTTTTTTTTTTAATCCATGTCCTTCTAGATTTTAATTTTTTAAAAATCCACGTCCTTCCTAATTTTATTTTTTTAATCTACGCCCTTCTAAATCTTATTTTTTTTAAATCCACGTCCTTCTAAATCTTAATTTTTTTAAATCCTTGTCTTTCTAAATTTGATATTTTTAAATCCTCGTTCTTCTAAATTTTAATTTTTTAAAATGGATTTTTTGAAGAATATTTTTTCATGGACCATCACACCATGGGAAATGGAACTTTTAAAGAATATTTTTTCAAGGACCAAAAATATATTTTATTAAAATTTTAAAATAAAAATACCCAAAATGCAATAATTTTGAGATGCAATTTCATTTCCTTTCAGAATTTATTTTTCACAGCCTGCACTTTGTCCACAACTGTCTTCTTGAGCTTCTGGAAAACGCTGGGCTTGGTGCTGGTCATAGCATGTACTTTGCCGCTATGTTCAATGTCCAGATGGAAATACAACTGCTTGCCATCATTGACGGTCTCCTCGGTTTTGGATTTTTGCAGGACCGCATTTTTGGCGGATAAGCAGACATTTTTGCGACTCACTTTGGTCAAATCCTTGGATTTGGTCTTCTTGGTGACCACACAGCGATGGGTGTGCGGCGGGCAGATAATGCGATCGCAGCGGAAGTTGTCTGAGAGTGGAAATGAAATGAAAAAAAAATACAAAAAAAAAATTGAAAAACTCACTTGTCTTGGTCTCCACGGTGACATCGTTGACATGGAAAAGTTCTCCCTGGGTCAGGTTTACCAGGCAGAGTGCCATCGCAATGAGGCAGGAGAAAACAGTTATTGACTTCATTATTTTTTTTTTAATTTTCAATATACTCCTTGATGTGAGCCAATAGACTTTTAAGATCAATATGAGTTTCGAAATTACTGAATGTAACCTCAACAGCTCGTCTTGGTGGCAAATGCGTTAAGTAAGTATTTTTAAATTTCCAACGCATTCAAATCCTTACTCATCGAGGTTGTGGAAAAAATCACCGCACTGGGGGGTTTTGAGTTCAAATAAAAATAATGGCATTAGTAACAACAACCACAAAAAAAACTTTGTTTAAAACTAAAATTGAATTTTTAAAAAATCCACGCCTTGGGGCTTTCCTCCTAAATTACAATTTTTAAAAAATTCTCGCCTTTAAATCTTTCATTTAAATTTGAATTTTTAAAAAATTCACGCCTTTAAATATTTCATTTAAATTTGAATTTTTAAAAAATCCATTCATTTAAATTTGAATTTTAAAAAAATCCACGCCTTTAAGTCTTTCATTTAAATTTGAATTTTAAAAAGTCCACGCCTTTAAGTCTTTCATTTAAATTTGAATTTTAAAAAAATCCACGCCTTTAAGTCTTTCATTTAAATTTGAATTTTAAAAAAATCCACGCCTTTAAGTCTTTCATTTAAATTTGAATTTTAAAAAAATCCACGCCTTTAAGTCTTTCATTTAAATTTGAATTTTAAAAAAATCCACGCCTTTAAGTCTTTCATTTAAATTTGAATTTTAAAAAAATCCACGCCTTTAAGTCTTTCATTTAAATTTGAATTTTAAAAAAATCCACGCCTTTAAGTCTTTCATTTAAATTTGAATTTTAAAAAAATCCACGCCTTTAAGTCTTTCATTTAAATTTGAATTTTAAAAAAATCCACGCCTTTAAGTCTTTCATTTAAATTTGAATTTTAAAAAAATCCACGCCTTTAAGTCTTTCATTTAAATTTGAATTTTAAAAAAATCCACGCCTTTAAGTCTTTCATTTAAATTTGAAATTTTAAAAAAATCCACGCCTTAGGGTCTTTGTCTTAAATTTGAATTTTTAAAAAAATCCACGCCTTAGGGTCTTTGTCTTAAATTTGAATTTTTAAAAAAATCCACGCCTTAGGGTCTTTGTCTTAAATTTGAATTTTTAAAAAAAATCCACGCCTTAGGGTCTTTGTCTTAAATTTGAATTTTTAAAAAAATCCACGCCTTAGGGTCTTTGTCTTAAATTTGAATTTTTTAAAAAATCCACGCCTTAGGGTCTTTGTCTTAAATTTGATTTTTTAAAAAATCCACGCCTTAGGGTCTTTGTCTTAAATTTGATTTTTTAAAAAATCCACGCCTTAGGGTCTTTGTCTTAAATTTGATTTTTTAAAAAATCCACGCCTTAAGGCCTTTCATCAGAATTTGAATTTTTAAAAAATCCACGCCTTGGGCTCTTTCATCAGCATTTGAATTTTAAAAAAATCCACGCCTTAAGGCATTTCATCAGAATTTGAATTTTTAAAAAATCCACGCCTTGGGCTCTTTCATCAGCATTTGAATTTTAAAAAAATCCACGCCTTAAGGCATTTCATCAGAATTTGAATTTTTAAAAAATCCACGCCTTAAGGCATTTCATCAGAATTTGAATTTTTAAAAAATCCACGCCTTGGGGTCTTTCCTCCTATATTTTAATTGTTAAAAATCCAGTATTTTTTTTATTCTTCGACAGTGTTGTCTAAACGTCACACCGTTAAAAAAGAAAACGTATGACGAGGAAAGGTCACAGCGATCTGGGCGATAACGAGCCAAACAAAAAATCGGCATTAAACTTTCCAAAGGGAAATTTGAAGTGTGATACACAACTTTAGCGGCCTGCAACAGGCCAGACCCAGACAAGCTTTGTCAAATGCCAAGCTAACAACTGTAACAACAATAAAAAAACAACAAGCCATCAGGTGAAATGTATCACACGCCTTTATTGTGCCACTAATTAGCGTACGTGGTAAAGTATCTCAACATATGGGTCACTCCATATGAAAAGTGGGTGGGAAGTTTTCGGATGGGATTACACTTCCCTTTGCTTTGTAAATTATTTCCAAACTAATTTTGATAAATGAAAAAACTTACCTCTGAATTTATTCATGGAATACCCCATATTCAAATTTCAAATGACTCTGACTTAGCCTTTTGCTAATACGGCCAACAACATCCAGCAAATCTTGCATTTGACTTATGAAAATAGTGTAACCACTATCTAGGAATTTAAATCAGTAGCATTTAACAAAGTTACGCATCCCGACAACAAAACGACAGCTGAGACCAGCCTGCCACACATCTATCTGCCGGATACATGAACTCTGAGCAATGATAAAAATTTAGTTTGTTAAGCAAAGCTTAAAAAACAAGATAACAACTGACAAAACTCATTTGTTTTAAATGTAAAACAACAAAGGCAACAACAACAACAACTCTTAACCGAGATGACAAGTTGACAATTATCAAGGAGGGAAACAAAAATATCTGAAGCAGATTTGGATTTTTTTAAAAATTAAAATTTAGAAGAAAGGCCCATAGGCGTGGATTTTTTTTAAATTTAAAATTTAGGAGGAAAGCCCAAAGGCGTGGATTTAAAAAAAAAAAATTTTTGAAGGAAAGCCTCTCAGGCGTGGATTTAAAAAAAAAATAAAATTTTGGAGGAAAGCCTCTCAGGTGTGGATTTTTAAAAAAATAAAATTTTGAAGGAAAGCCTCTCAGGCGTGGATTTAAAAAAAAAATAAAATTTTGGAGGAAAGCCTCTCAGATGTGGATTTTTAAAAAAATAAAATTTTGGAGGAAAGCCTCTCAGGTGTGGATTTTTAAAAAAATAAAATTTTGGAGGAAAGCCTCTCAGGCGTGGATTTTTAAAAAAATAAAATTTTGAAGGAAAGCCTCTCAGGCGTGGATTTAAAAAAAAATAAAATTTTGGAGGAAAGCCTCTCAGGCGTGGATTTTTAAAAAAATAAAATTTTGGAGGAAAGCCTCTCAGGCGTGGATTTTTAAAAAAATAAAATTTTGAAGGAAAGCCTCTCAGGTGTGGATTTTAAAAAAAATAAAATTTTGGAGGAAAGCCTCTCAGGCGTGGATTTACAAAAAAATAAAATTTTGGAGGAAAGTCTCTCAGGCGTGGATTAAAAAAAAAAAATAAAATTTTTAAGGAAAGCCTCTCAGGCGTGGATTTCAAAAAATAAAAAATAAAATTTTGGGGGAAAGCCTCTCAGGCGTGGATTTAAAAAAAAAAATAAAATTTTGGAGGAAAGCCTCTCAGGCGTGGATTTTTAAAAAAATAAAATTTTGGAGGAAAGCCTCTCAGGCGTGGATTTTTAAAAAAATAAAATTTTGAAGGAAAGCTTCTCAGGCGTGGATTTTAAAAAAAATAAAATTTTGGAGGAAAGCCTCTCAGGAGTGGATTTTAAAAAAAATAAAATTTTGGAGGAAAGCCTCTCAGGAGTGGATTTTTAAAAAAATAAAATTTTGGAGGAAAGCCTCTTAGGCGTGGATTTTTAAAAAAATAAAATTTTGGAGGGAACGTGGATTACAAGGACGTAGATTTTTTAAAAAAGTAAAAATTCAGGGACTTGGATTTTTTAAAAAAGTAAAAATTCAGGGACGTGGAATTTTTAAAAAAATAAAAATACAGGGACGTGGAATTTTTAAAAAAATAAAAATACAGGGACGTGGAATTTTTAAAAAATTAAAAAAGTCAGGGACGTGGATTTTTTAAAAATTACAAAAGTCAGAGACGTGGATTTTTTTAAAATTAAAAAATCCAGGGACGTGGATTTTTTAAAAAAATAAAAATACAGGGACGTGGAATTTTTAAAAAAATAAAAATACAGGGACGTGGATTTTTTAAAAATTAAAAAATTCAGGGACGTGGATTTTTAAAAAAATTAAAAATCCATGGACGTGGATTTTTTAAAAAATTAAAAATCCATGGACGTGGATTTTTTAAAAAATTAAAAATCCATGGACGTGGATTTTTTAAAAAATTAAAAATCCATGGACGTGGATTTTTTAAAAAATTAAAAATCCATGGACGTGGATTTTTTAAAAAATTAAAAATCCATGGACGTGGATTTTTTAAAAAATTAAAAATCCATGGACGTGGATTTTTTAAAAAATTAAAAATCCATGGACGTGGATTTTTTAAAAAATTAAAAATCCATGGACGTGGATTTTTTAAAAAATTAAAAATCCATGGACGTGGATTTTTAAAAAATTAAAAATCCATGGACGTGGATTTTTAAAAAATTAAAAATCCATGGACGTGGATTTTTTAAAAAATTAAAAATCCATGGACGTGGATTTTTTAAAAAATTAAAAATCCATGGACGTGGATTTTTTAAAAAATTAAAAATCCAGGGACGTGGATTTTTTAAAAAATTAAAAATCCATGGACGTGGATTTTTTAAAAAATTAAAAATCCAGGGACGTGGATTTTTTAAAAAATTAAAAATCCATGGACGTGGATTTTTTAAAAAATTAAAAATCCATGGACGTGGATTTTTTAAAAAATTAAAAATCCATGGACGTGGATTTTTTAAAAAATTAAAAATCCATGGACGTGGATTTTTTAAAAAATTAAAAATCCATGGACGTGGATTTTTTAAAAAATTAAAAATCCATGGACGTGGATTTTTTAAAAAATTAAAAATCCATGGACGTGGATTTTTTAAAAAATTAAAAATCCATGGACGTGGATTTTTTAAAAAATTAAAAATCCATGGACGTGGATTTTTTAAAAAATTAAAAATCCATGGACGTGGATTTTTTAAAAAATTAAAAATCCATGGACGTGGATTTTTTAAAAAATTAAAAATCCATGGACGTGGATTTTTTAAAAAATTAAAAATCCATGGACGTGGATTTTTTAAAAAATTAAAAATCCATGGACGTGGATTTTTTAAAAAATTAAAAATCCATGGACGTGGATTTTTTAAAAAATTAAAAATCCATGGACGTGGATTTTTTAAAAAATTAAAAATCCATGGACGTGGATTTTTTAAAAAATTAAAAATCCATGGACGTGGATTTTTTAAAAAATTAAAAATCCATGGACGTG